AAATTAAGTGACAGTGAAATGCGAACAATTTTGTGATTATTTAGGAAAAATTAGTAGAATACGGTGAGATTCAATGGATACTTTGAACCCTTTCCAAAATGTTGATGTCTTATTGAACTGTTGATGAAATAGAATTTTTTTTTAAATTAAAGTACAGTCAGCCCCTTTGTAATAAGCTTAGACTGAGCTCAATCGATAAATTTGTTCCTTGGTTATAAATACTGAAACCAGAAGTAAGAAGAGTCCATTTTACCCAATGTTTCCCAAATATTTTTAATAAAAAAAAAAACAGATGTTTTCAGAAACAATTCTTTGTGAACCTTTTGTGCGACTATTCCTATAAGGAAATCAATTCATCTTTCCAAGAAATACAATCCACATAGGAATCATCAGAGCAAAAATTGAATGAGGAACCAAATCAAGTTAGAAAATTATCAACAGATTATTAAAAATTGAAATTCGGTGGAGACAATAAATCTGGAGTAAAACTGTTTATCTCCCTTCAATTGTTGATGCAAGAAATGTTCTATCTTATAAAAAATGAATGAGTTAAAGTTAATCAGGCGAGCCCGGAGGGTTGGAAAAAAAGCAGCCATTTTTTTCTTTTTTTTACGTATTTAAATGATAGAAAAGGCGTGTGCATAGTTTCAGACTGCTGGGGAGCATGGTTAATTTATTATGAATTTTTGAAGAAGTGGTCATTTAACCCGTGATCTTATGGAAATTACAAAAAAAACTGTAAAACCCAAGGAAAAAATGCAGCCAATGTCATGAAACTTTAGACACATTTAGAACATGTGATCAATGATTTTTTGAGTGAAAAAAATTGTCGCCTAGGAGCATTGTTTATTAATAATAGCGAAGAAAGTACTGAAAAATGACATTTCTGCGCACGCAGCCCAAACGAGTAGCAACGTCCCAAGTACCGATCGGGTGGGGGTAGCGCGGTCAATTTAAACGTCTCTTGAGAGAGATCGATGAAGCGTTGTGATTGAAGCTCCCTCGAGCCAGTGGTACCAGCTCCTGGTGAAAAAAAGACTACCGACGATGTTGCCACTTTTTCGCATGGATTAATATTTTTTCATTTATTAAAAAAAAAACAATCTGAAAATCATTCAATGCGTGGAACAGATACAAATAAATTTGATTAGCTTCAAAAATAATTATTAACTGGAGATACTCCCTAATATTCCCTGAATTTTGAATCCGAATGGGAAAAATTTCTTTGTTCAGCGATTGGTTTTCTGCAGGAAAACAATAGAAACCCCTCCGCCTCACTTCCTACATTTCTTCTTCGCCCGATTATCCTTAAATTGAATTGAAAAGAACAAATTTCACCGGATGTCAAAACAGTTCTTGCTTATTTTGAAAAAAATAATAAAATCTGCCTAAAAACACAAAAACAAATGTTTTTGTAAAAAAACTGGGCCAAGAAAAAGTGTTGTTTGATTCCTACTGGGAAGTCGAAGTTTTTGAAAAATACATAGTTATAAAAAGGGAAGCCAAGTCAGGAATTTTGAATAAATGGTAATAGTGCACAATCAGGTTTCTATAAGAAAAATAGTTCTCAATGGAATAAGTATTTTTAAAAAATTCTCCATGAAATAAAAAATCAGTAGGAGCAGGACCAACGTTCTTGGCGCGGAGTTTTTCAACTCACTGTCTGTATCAATCTACTCCTCCATCCTTTGATCCGCTCCATCCTTTGGTTCGATTCCCGGCTGGGTGAAGCGGAAATTTTTTCTCTCTAAATTCTAATTCTCTTAGAATTTTTTTTTTTTGCGGAGTTTTTTAACTCACTGTCTGTATCAATCTACTCCTCCATCCTTTGATCCGCGCCAAGGACGTTGGTTCTGCTCCTACTGATTTTTTATTTCATGGAGAATTTTTTTAGAATACTTATTCCATTGAGAACTATTTTTCTTATAGAAACCTGATTGTGCACTATTACCATTTATTCAAAATTCCTGACTTGGCTTCCTTTTTTATTTCTATATATTTTTCGAAAACTTCGACTTCCCAGTAGGAATCAAACAAAACTTTTTCTTGGCCCAGTTTTTTTACAAAAACATTGTTTTCGTATTTTTAAGCATTCAATTCCACATTTTGCTTCTCCTTTTTACGTTATTGCATAACATATCCGAAATTCTGCGTTTTTTAGGAATAACCGGGAATTTAAGATTCTCAACTATTTCAGAATGCCAGGAAAAACAATAATTCAGGGAATGATGAAATAGGTGACTCAGAAGGAGGATCAATTCGTCGCGTGAAATTATTCCGTCTGACTCTCACGGCGACGCCTAAAAATTCCCGCGATCATTCGATGTTTTTTGCTGTCTCGGCCAGAGTGACCGTAAAAAAATAACATACAAAGAGCCTGTGAAATAGAGGGAAATAAAAACTAAAATACGCAGGCATCATTATGGCGTTCCGCCCAAGTGATTCAGAGATGTTTTTTGTCGTGCCTTCATTATCTTCAATGAAAACGAAGGGGATAGGTATCAATAGAATAACAATTGTTAATGTGTTTTTCTTTTTTACCATTGTTGATTTTTCTCTCCCTTATTTTTGAGGATTTAGGGGATTATGGATTATTTGTCCTCTTTAAACGACCCTGGTGGTCTCGAGTGGCCATAAGCCAGTCTGCAAAAATTGTACGAGTCGGCAGAAGTCTGCACCTGCCACTACATCATAACCATTTAATAACGGATTCTGCGCTAATGACCTTCCATGCTGTGGTTAAGCATGTGCACGAGTGATACACAGTTGTATATCATTCGTTTTAGTTTGGGGATGGGTCTTTATGATTTTAACACTTGAATTCTGTTATTTACGATCTTCATGTGCATGAAAGGCCTCGAGAAGGTGCTGCCAGTAGCTCAATACACGTGCGTTCCTCGAGCACGGTCATCTTCTGTGAGTCCCTACAAGTACCTAAGACATGCCCAACTATGGGCTAAATATCATACTTTAAAGAAGCTGGCCCCATATTGTTTGGGCACAACTTCTTCCATCTTTATTCATTGAAAAAATGAAAAATTCAAAATTGAACTAACCCGAGTGGAAATTCCGGTCAGGTCTTGATCAAGTTTGGATCAGGTTAGACCTGACCGCTGATCAGGTATTGATCAAGTTGACGGATCCGGTCTTGATCAGACATGTTACGCCTCTGACCAATCCGGATTTGATGAGGACGAATGGATCTGAACTTGATCAAGTCAACTGTATGAAAACCGGATGACCTGTCTGTCAGTATTAATAACAATTATCAATGATAATTAATCCAAAGCAAAAGATAATTCAATTCTTTCACCATAGGCCGCCTCTCTTAATGAATCTCTGCTGTTATTACCTCTGAAAAAGCTTATCATTTTTTTACCGATGCTGAAGATCGAACCGGGGACCCTATGATTACTAATCCTATGCTCTAACCACTACGCTATCGCGCTATTACTACTGAGTAAACTGTACCTATATGATTTGCATCGGGGTATTCGTTGAATTTACGATTATTCCTGATCTCGCGGATGTGCGTGTGTATTCTCAGAGATAAAATATGTTCAATGAAATTTTTATTTATTTCATTAATGAATAATAATAATGATAATAACAATAGCACTAATAAATAAATAGACATTTGGTGATTTTTTTCTCAAGATCATTTGCATGTAAGTTTGATACTCCTCTAATACGTATTTACGGCATCATCATCACTCCCTTTTGTACATTTGAGAAGGGCTGGCTGTTAATTAAATTGATTAATTAAATTAAATTCATTAAATTAAGTCAATTTAATTTAATTTATTTTAATTATAGTATAATGATCCTTTTTAAAGATTGAAAATAATTATTGATAATGGTTGATAAAACTTAATTTCAATAGTATAATAGTTAATTAAATTATCCGAAAAACTTATTAAAATTAATGTCAGGTGGACCGAATCTGAATCTGATCATTTTCTCTTCAATTAACCCCGTTCAAATGCCGATCAATGACATAAAATCGGAATTTGATCAATTTGGGGTCAGGCAGCCGACCTCAGGGTGAAATCGTGCCAACCTGATCAGAACTTGATCTGAATCATCCTGCAGTTTTTCGGATCCGATCTGCTGGATCAGAACTTGGTCAGGTTCTCATCAGGCATTATCTGATCATGTCTACCTGATCAGAACTTAATCTGAACCCGCCTGTAGTTTTTCGGATCTGACCTGCTGGATCAGAACTTGGTCAGGTTCTCATCAGAAATCACCGGATCAGTCGAACCTTATAAAAAACTGATCAAGTTCTGATCGTGCTTCAGGTGGGCCTGAAGCAAATTCCACTCGGGTAATGGTATATACTTATTAGGCTTCAACTCTTGATCCCTTTCTCATGCTATTTGTCACTCGTTAATCTCACAAAATTAACATCCGACCAATTTATTTCCGACTAAGCCACTAAAAAAATGTCACAATAAACTTAGAGAAATTAAATCACCATTAAGGGTTTGTGCGTGATGAAACTCGCCTTGACATCCGGCCTAAGAGCATCCTGAAAAAGAGAAGAGTGAAATTAATTGACCTCGATGCCGCAAATAATTTTCACATGACTGTGTCCTCCAATTACTTCATCTCCACGCAAATTAATTAATTTAACGAAGAAATTCATCGGGAAAAATGTGATTCCCATCTGCCCCCCTCCGTCACCTCCCATCCCGCAGTCTTAATCAGAGAATCAGAAAATTTATGGGGACACACGAGTGTAACTGCACGATGACACGCAAAAAATACGTACCTACGCACTTTTTCTCTCAGTGGTAAAGATCAATCTCACGACAAAAATCTCGCAATTAATTGATACCGGATGATGATTATGCACTCAATTTCTCACCTGTCGATTTACGTTAAGATAAGGTTTGAGTTTTCCTTTTTCTCACACCTTAATACTAGAACCAAGTCTATATACCGTGTGACAGTGTTATTAATCGTTTGAATATTTATAGGCACCGTTATAATTTCAGACGTCTCGATGAATGCAGCCGAGACATTACCAGCCTATGATCCACAGTTCATGGCGCGCTGTTACTTCCCGGCGGAATTCCAGGGCGAGTTCTTGATGCAGGTGAGCAGTATAGGGGCAAGGGGATCCAGCAACACTGGGGAGCCAATACAGTATTCCAGCGTCAACATTACCTATGACTCAATACCTGTCTGGGGGTATTGTCATAAGAGATTCGAAGAGAACGTTCTACTTGTTGACAAGTACGTAAATTAATTTTTTATATAGAACGGAGAGAAGAGAATTAATCATGCAGGAACATTTGCTGTTTAAAGTTTTTTTTTATTTACATTTTTGGCTCGAGGTGAAATCATGAAAATGCATTCAATTGTGGAGATTAATCTCGACAAATGATGGAGATATGTTCCTGGGAGTCATTATTCACTTTTGCATGATTGAAAATCCCAGGGAGATAAATAGAAAGAATTATGTGGACTCTTTCTCGAGTCAAAATTTTACGGGGTCCCCCAGCGTAGTCTCAACGTTCTAAACATACTTTTCTTTGATGTCCAATTTTTCCGCGGAATCTTCAGCGTATTTTCAACCTACGTCAACGTAACGGCCCATGGACGTCAAAAATTCTTCAACCCCCGGTCATGTATTCAATGTGCTTTCGATGTTTATTACGTTGAGAGTACGTTGAAAATATTTTCAACGTACATTCGGTATACTTTCAACGGATTCATTAAAGGGGGGGGGGG